TTACTTAAGTAAGTTGATCAATCTTAAAGATATGTTAATACCTGAACGACATAGATGTTTCTTGAATGTGTGTTCGTCTTCTCAAGTGTGGTTCGATGATAATTTTGAAAGTACTCAGCTCAACTCTGGATCACATCCGGTACTAAGAAATAAATATTCGTTAAAGAAATCAACCAAGAAGACCAAATTGAATGGATCTGAAGTACAATATATCTGAAATACAGGAACGTTTGTATTACTCTGAAAAACCCCGAAGTAACTGGAATGGACTTGACTGCTAAATAAGCTAAGTAACCTCAATGATTGAGGATTAAGTAAGTGAATTGGATAAGTCTGGAAATTCTGATGAGTTTATAAGATGTAATGTCCTTATGGAACATGAACTAAAAATCAAGCACGTCAGTATTTCATGATATCGTGGAAGGTTAGAAATGAAATAAAGATCATTGGATGATATATTCAGCGATGATTCTGAAGATGATCTATGAACAAGAATTTGTGGTATTAAAAAGTAAATACCCTGGAAGGAAAATGAATTGACAAGTGGACATAAATTGTTAAGGTTCTGAATCTTCGTTCTCAAGTTGTTCGATTATCCGATCAATTGACATGGATGTAAAGGATTCTGAATACCTTTCTGATTATGTACAACTTCTGAAAATTGTCCGAATAAGATATGATCCTGATAATTCACATTCTGAATAACTGATGATTTCGTCAGTTATTGAACTTTTTACAATTGTGATTCTAAATTCTGACATTCTATCGGTATACTGAAAATCCGTGTTTCTCTACTTGCTAAGATTATCCAGTACCTCTGAATAATATTTGTAAACTCTGGTGTGTTCCCTAATCATATAATTATTTTATCTGATTTCCGACTTGAATTCTGTTCTGATACATGACCTGAATTCTGTTTTGATTTCTGATCTGGATTCTGTTCTGATATCTGTTCTGAATTCTATTTTGATTTCTGATATCTCCGTTTAATGACGGAAAAATGTTTTAATTGGGGGATTATTGTTGAAGGAAGAAGTTCCGCAGGTTTCTCGGCTTTGCACTCAGGGTCTTATATGATGTGTTGGGTTGGGTGTATGGTTCTGGGGAACCTACACATTCTGATGTGATGGGATGAGGGTATATATATGTGTGTGTGTGTGTGTGTGTGTGTGTGTGTGTGTGCTTTAAAAGATCTGTATCTTTTTACTGGTTTTACGGGAACACACTAGATAACTTATTCTGATCTCCTGAACTCAGTCATCCGAAATATTTGTCTGAAATGAAAGCTCATAGTCCGTTACCATCTGAAATATCAGTAGGATCTCTGTTCAGCATAAAAATCTGTAAATGTTCTGAAATAATAAGGATATGTATGTTTATCTGTATCTGCACGTTCTTCAGCATCATCTGGTAGTTCTGTATTACTGAGCTTTTCGAAGCTTACTCTATTACTCACCTTTTCAGGTTAAAAGAATTGTACCAGTGCATCTATCGACTTCAGTAAGGGAGTTCTTCCGGCGTTGTTGCAGAGTATGGTACATGTGATTAGGGGGCATGTAATTGTATTTGTTTGTATACGAGTCTGGAAATCTGTTTTATTTTTAAATAGTGACAAATGATTTTTATAAGTTTACATATTCTGATAAATTTTTTTAAATTTTCCGCTATTTTTACAGTGGGTCGCTCCGATGACCCTAATGTGACAACCCAGATCAGATCGGGTTATCCGCATCGGTCTGAGGGTTACAATTATTAAGTTTATAATATTGAGCAAAGCAAGAAGAATAAGAATTGAGAGAGAGAGATATATGAAAAAAATTATTATTTCAGAGGTATTTGTATCTAAAGTGGTGGGAATTATTCATTACCTAAGAATTTAGAGGTAATGACATTCCCACCATTTTAACCCGAAAATACTACTATTAGTAATAAGTTATTAGTTAGTAATGATATTTTCCGCGAACTAAACGTCCCCTTAGTTCATAGATGGGTTTTTAGTAACACTATTCTTCCTTCCCTTAGAGTCCTCCTCCTCTCTCTAAGTAGTATTATGATTAAATTTAAAATTTATCAAAATAGAAAAGTTAAATATTCAATTTACACAGTTAAAAATTTATTATGTTGCACATAAAGTTACATACCAAATGCAATATTTACTTTTTCTAAAATCTAATAATAAATCGATTTAAATTCGGCTTTCTCCGGAATCCCTTGTTTTTCAAACTTCAAACAAATATGAATCATAATGGGATAGTCAAAAGAAAACAACCAGACAGGAAAAGGTTGTTTAACAGAAACATGGATTTAGGTATTATTACAAATATTACCTCTTTTATTAAATGCGTTAGTTATTATTATTATTTCAACTCCAATTTTAAGCCAATTCTTTCTCATTTAATATTTTATGCTCCTATAAAATAATCTTTTAAATAAATAAAATCTGGTTTAAAATAAATAATTATTTAAGTATGTATTTGAACCGATCAATTTATTGGTGGCCAATACTCCATACAAAACTAGAAAGTCAAAACTATCAAGTAAAAAATCTAGACTCCCATTAGTATTATTTTGGATATCATAATAAAATATAAATAGAATTATTATTATCATATATATTAATAATAGAAAAAATTCACAAGTGTTATTCAAATTAGTGACAAGTGTCCAATTAATTTATATTTTGATTTTTTAGTGAATATATTTTGATTTTTTAAATAAACGTAAATGACACTTCACATTATTCAAATTAGGTTCTCTCTAAAGAACCTAAATGTGTATATATTTTCAAGGATCATTCTTCTGCGTTCGACGAGTAGCGATGAGCACTACTAATGACGAGCACCATTAATTTTATTTATAAAAATTTAAATTCTAAATGACTCAACGTATAATTATAAATTAGTTAAAATTTAAAGATGAATTATATAAAATAAAAGGTAAACTATACCAGTGACCACCTAACTATTATCCATTTTTTATTTTGACCAATATTTTTGAAATTTTGTCAGTCAGATCACTCAACTATTTAAATGCATTCAATTAAGCTACTTGTCGTTAATATTTAATGGAGAAGCTGATGTGGCAGTTAAAATATTTGATATAATTACACATTTGATCACTGTTACTTATATATATTTTATCAAATTGGTCCTAATTTTAATAAATTAAAATAAATTTAACCCTCGAATCAATTTGGTCACTTACAATTATATTTTTAACTTCCGAACTGAAAATCAAATATTTTCAGTTTAAATGACAGTATAAAGAGTTACGAAAGTTTAATTTTTTTTTCTACTACTTTTCATTTCTTATACTATTTCTATATACAAACCAAATCAAATATCAAATATAATAGAATTGAATAATATCGAGGATCTCTCGATATTGCTCCATATTGCATAGCCGACGATGCTAGGTGCCCATTGCACACAAACAATTCCCTTTAAGGGATTGATGTGGGTTTGCTCCATATTGCTCTCTCATTTTATACTCTTCGTCAATTGGTCCTCCAAGCTTTTTTGACTCTACAATTCAGTTCTTATCATTGTCATGCTCTCAATCAGGTCATCATGTGATGCCTCGATGTCCGAAAATAAGTCACAATAAACACTATACGCTAACTCATATTAATGTAAATTACGATATAAATTATTATTTTATATTTTATATTTTATATTTATCTATAAAAAATAATTTAAATTTAAAAAATATTTTTTATAAAATAAATATAATTAAATCATGTTACAATTAATTATAATTCTAAAAAGTATTTTGAGTATAACTTAAAATTTTATTGTTATTTTTTTTAAATTAAATAGTAATAAAAAAGAAAGTATGAAAACATATAAATATTTTCAATTACACCATTTGATTTGAGGGTTAAGTTTATTTTAATTTATTAAAATTAGGACTAAATTGATAGAATATATAAGTAATAGTGACCAAATGTGTAATTATAACAAATATTTTAACTGCCATATCAGCTTTTCCGTTAAATATTAACGACAAGTGGCTTAATTAAATGCATTTAAATAGTTGAGAGACATGATTGACAAAATTTCAAAAGTATTTGTCAAAATAAAAAGGGACAATAGTTAGGTGGTCAATGGTATAATTTACCCTTTATTTTAAATAATTTATCTTTAAATATTTAACTAATTTATAATTATACGTTGAGTCCTTTAGAATTTAAATTTTATAAATTAAATTAATGGTGTTCATCGTTAGTGATGCTCATAGTTGCTTGTCGAGCATCGCAGAATTTTCTTACTTTCAATTATCTAATAAAAATTCTAAATAAATATTGCCTTATAATCACTCCAGATTATTTAAAAATTATATTTTAAACTAAAATATTTTATTCTAATATAATAATGATAAACAAGTACTATGACTTTCAAGTTCATAGACTTCATCTTCTTGAATCTAATTATTAGAAGTTAACTCAACTTTCCTTTGGATTCTCTCCATTATTAGGAGATGATGTAAAACTAAAACAAGTGAGGATACCCCAATCTTTTTACTTCCTTCCATCTTTGTTAAAAATTAATGAAAAGTATAACGATCTCATAATAAAATAGAAGCTAAGATTTTACGTAATTTTTTTTAAAAAAAAATCAAAAAGCAAAAGAAGAAAATTTTCATTCATGTTTAAAATAAAATAACATAAGAGAATTTACAAAAACTACTTAATTTCTAACTCTTATCTCTAGTATCTATCTAAGAGTAAAATATATGATATATTGCTAAATTATATTGAAATGATTGTTTACGAAATATCATTAAACTAAATCAAATAAAATAATTATTAAGATATTATAATAATTATAAAAATTGATAATTTTAATGACCCAAACTAAAGGCATATTTTTACTTTTGGTGGATTTGATTTCTTTATTGTTAACTTGTATGTTTCTGAACTCAGAGCATTATTAAAAAATAATTTTAAAATATCTCGTGACTATAAAAATAATACTACATAATTTTAGCTCATACTGCCTCTTCCATCTCTCTAGTAACTATAAAACGCCGTTCCATGTATGTTTTCCTCCTAATTTTCCCTCTCTTTTCCATTTTCGTCCAAAATGGACAGATCATTCAACTCGGTGACTCGTCCGCGTTGGACGCAGATCCTTTTCCTACCCATCATTTCATTTCTCTGCATGTTGACATGGCCATGTACCGCCGATGCCGCCGCCCAGGAGCTTCACAAAGGCTTTGAAGCCACCCCAAATCCTTCAATCTCCTCCTTCCAACCTCTCCTCAACGATTCTTCAGACAAGTTCTCCTTCGGTTTCCTCCGAGTTAACTCAACCCAACTCGCTCTGGCTGTTCTCCACGTACCTTCCGGTGAACCCCTGTGGATCGCCAACTCTACCACCTTATCTCGATGGTCCGACCACACAAAGACGTTCTTCAATGGTAGTCTTGTGCTTTCAGATCCGCGGACAAGGACGTTTTGGTCAACTCAAACACAAGGTGACAAACTTGTCCTCCTCAATAACTCCAATCTTCAGATACAGAAAGCCCTCGACAACAGAAACAACGTCCCAACTATTTTATGGCAGAGTTTCGATCATCCCACGAATACTCTTGTCGAAACTCAAAATTTCACTTCTACCATGACCCTCGTTTCTTCAAATGGCTTGTATTCAATGCGTCTGGGCAACGATTTCATTGGATTATACGCTAAATTTGATTCCGATTCCGATCAAATTTATTGGAAGCACAAAGCTTTACAAGCCAGAGCTCAGATTGTTGAAGGCGGTGGACCGATTCACGTCCGAGTTGACCCGGATGGGTGGCTGGGAATGTACCAAAATGAAACAGCCCCTGTGGACGTTGAGTCCTTTAACAGCTTTCAACGAACGCTTGAAGGACTCCTTATGGTCCGGTTAGAACCGGATGGGAACCTCAAAGCTTATTATTGGTCCGGTTCAAGTTGGGGTTTGGATTATCAAGCCATTAGTGACACTTGCGAGCTACCTAACCCATGCGGTTCGTACGGGCTGTGCACTCCAGGGACGGGTTGCTCTTGTTTGGATAACAGCACCGAGTTCTCATCCGGCGAGTGCTCCTCCGGTTCACCCTCTTATTCGAACGACCCGTGTACCGACCCGGAAAGCCAAAACATCATCAGAGTTTTAAGGAGAGAGGGAGTGGATGTGCCGTTTAAGGAGCTAATGAGGTACGAAACGACGTCTTCTTTAGAGGCATGTGAAAACTCGTGTGAAACGAATTGCAGTTGTTACGGGTCGGTTTATAATAATGCATCCGGGTTTTGCTACATCTTGGATTACCCGATCCAAACCCTGTTGGGAACGGGCGATGATAATAAAGCCGGGTACTTCAAAATCAGGGAAGAAGCAGATAAGAAAAGAATGGATCCCGGTTTTAGGGGTGGGGATCGGTCTGCTGGGAGCGGCTTTGTTATGTTTGATGGCGGCAATCGGGTTCGGAAGCTACAAGGTTTGGGTGAATAAGAGAAGGGTGAACCGGATATTAGAAGAAGAAACGGGTGGGGCGATGTCCGGCCCGTATAAGGATCTCGGGTCGGCTAGCTTTAGATCGATCGAGATGTGTGGTGGCAGTCATCTATAATACCGGAAATCCGACCTAAGGCCAGGGCTTGTTTTTATTTTAATAGGGAACACGTGTAATTTAATTTTATATTATATTATATTATATTCGACTGATTTTTATTGAGAATTAAAAATAAAGTGAGAATGATGTGAGCAATGACGTAGGAGTGGGTTTTGACTTAGAAAAGTTTAGGGCATCCACTAACTTTAGTTGGCCTAGTGGTAATGAATGTGGGGTCCCCTTTCAGATAGAGTGAGTTTTGCTTGGTTTTATTTTTCTTTTCAAATTTAATTTATTGTGATTGTGACCGTATTTATTTAAAATTTTTCTTAATTATTGATTATATGTATATTTTATAAATGTAGTTATTTAAATTTATAATTATTAAGAAACACAAGCTAATTTACTTCGGCAGTTGAAGAGAAACGTTGTTCTTAGATCTTATAGTTCAATACTATTAACTATAGCAGTTATTGAACCTTTAATATTAAAATATTCAGAATATTTAGAAAAAAAATATTATTTTATAATTATTTTAACTTAATAAAAAAATTCTAATAATGATAACACTTTCTTATATTATTAAAGTCGTTTAATAACGAAAAAAGCTAAATTGTAAAGGGAGGATCTTGACAAAATACCAACCTTTATGTAATGTAGTGTGTGTTTTCCTTTGACTTGAATGAGAGGATAATGGGTACTTCACTTGCGATCATGTGGGCCGCACTTTGATTTGGATGTATTTGTCCACCTTTATTCATCCATCTATCTATGTACTATTATTATTCCACTGCCAACCTTATCTATATATTATTATCAATGGCCACTCCAAACATCAAGAAGATGTAACTTGAGTTTACCATAATTTCATTTAATTGAATGTAAACTCTTAATATCTTATGTCTTGAGTGGAGGAAATGCTAAGATATCAACAATGATAATTTTCTTTCATTTTTAGTCATATTAAAGTTTAATTTAAGTAATATGTATTTTTGCTTCTTTTTGAAAATTAACTTAATCAATAACTAATTAACAATTAGTTGGTCAAGTGAAAAGAAACACTAGATTCATTAAATAATTCATGAGTTCAAATTCTAACATTTGCGAATAGAGTAAACTGAATTAAGAGGGTTGTCATCGTCTCCGTAATACCTGATCTAGATCACTAATCCAAGTTTACGCATGCTATTTTGTGTATTTATTGTTGATCACCTTATTGATTATCCACATTGCCGTAGCTTGGGCTTGCCGTGAATGATTGAATATGGTGTAAATATTATAAAATGTATGTAAATAATAAGTTAGTTTTTTTCATGATTTTGAGGTAAAGTCTAGAAATAATCTTAAATTGGATTTTGTATAAATTGTATTTGGGAAAGAAGAAATTTTTAGCTGAATATTTGGGCATGTATTTCCGTGGGCCATAATAAATGGCAAAGAAGGTCGACCACATCCCGTCTGGGTTTACTTACAAGAGCCACATCGAGGCGTTCGTTGTTTTAATCTCACCAAAAGTCTGATTTCTTAACTAAAACATCGCTGAGAATCACGTTATTCACTCTTAAAGATTGATTACTCTTCTGACTTTAAAATATCTGATCTTTTTTACATAGATAATTGTGAATTATTGTCGTCAACACCCAAACCTGTTCAGATATGAGTCTAAAGCTCAAACGTAACTCAGACTCAAATAAAAGGCTATTCATCAAAGCCTAACTAGCTGAATTCAATCCCAAACCTCAAAAATAGCAAGAGACAATCCCAAACTTTTGTGATCCATGTATCCGTCAAAATTTGGGGTCTTATGGTGTGCGGCGCCTAAAATAAGGCTAATTAACAGCATGGCAATATTATAACTCGAAACTAGAATAATTATGTAGCACCCACAGACCGATGTGGGTGACCTAATCCGATTCGGAGTGTCACATTAGGGTCATCGGAGCAACCCACCGTAAAAATAACAGAAAATTAAGAATTTTGTTAAAACACTTAAAATCATAAAATAATTTATAAATACAAAATACAACCTACATGTCCCCTAACCACATGCACCGTACTCCATAAGCAAAGCCTGTGGAACTCCTTTATTTATGTCGCTAGATGCACTGGTTTGATCCTTTTAATCTGAAATGGTGAGTAAAAGAGTGAGCTTTGGGAAGCTCAGTAATACGGAACTACCAAGTGATGATAAAGGATATGCAGATAAATGTAAAGCCATAACATTTTCTTGTTGATTCAGATGTCTCCAGGTTTTCAGGATGAGCTGCAATTCCACTGGTATTTCTTCAAGTAAAAGCATTGAAGATTTCATTTCATAGGAAACATTCAGAGTACCATGTTTTTAGGGGATTGGAATAGGATGTCTAGTGTGTTCCAACCAAAACCAATGAAAAATACATATATTTTTAAAACAGTAACAATTTAGAACATATTTTTAAAACAATAACAATTTAGAACATATTTTTAAAACCATATTAGAACCCTCCAACCGAACACTATTATGCAGTTCCCAAGAACTGCATCCATAAGGACTTACCCTGAGCACACAACAAAGGGAGCCACCCTAAGGGAATGCCTTGGGGCCCAATAGCCTACCCAAGAAAGTTTTCTAGGGCCTCGGAGCTACCCAAGGGTCACCTTAGGTCCGTAAGGATTTACCAGTTTGATCAGTGCTGAACCTCCATACTCTAAAATCATGCCCATACAATATCCAGTAAAAATCAGATTTAACAGTAAACCATAATATCTAGATCGAAATCCAATAAAATCTCGCAAACGTGACAATGAAATAAACTATATAACTGCCCTACATTCGTACACCATATGTAGTCCCATGATTAACCCAAGGGAGTCCCTTGGGGCCTGAGAGCCTACCCAAGAAAGTTTCTCGGGGCCTTAAAGCCTACCCAAGGGTCACCTTAGGTCCATAATGATTTACCAACTTGATCAGAGTTGAACCTCCATATTTTCATCGTCGCCCAAAACGGGTTCTTCGGTTTCTTCATCTTCGCTTGAATCATCATGAATTTCTCCCCATCGATTTTCAGCATCAATATCAACAACCAATTCTGGTATGTTTCTCGTCTCATACTCTGCTGCTGCAGATGTCCCTTTGACTTCATTTACATTTTCCAATAGTGCCATAAAACTGTTCGGGAACCTGTATGTCGGCTCCTCAAACTGACTATATAAAGCCATTTCAGATGGATTTTGAGCCACACCTCTTGATGACCCAGGAACATCACATATGTTACGCACATCAACAAATAACTCAATAACTGTTATATTGGTTGACTCATGTAATCCAACCATGGTTCCAATATCATCATCTTCTTTAAGTGGAATTGCAACATATCTGACTCGGTTGAGGCATATCATAAACCTATACCTCAAACCATCAACTGCAGTTCGAATTTTTCTTTCTATCTTATGCTTCATTTCTATAAATGTGATGTCTTTTTTTAACATCATATTTATTGGTTTTTCAGTCTGAAAAACTACTCCGACCTCATTTTCCATAATATGTCCATTATAATGGAAAATCGTGTAACAGTTATTGATCATTTTCTTTACAAATAAAAAAATCAATAATTTAGATTAAAAATTATATAAGATAATTACATAAATAATTAAATAATTAAATATAATATAATATAATATACTATTATATTAACGATCAAATAAAATTTGTTATTTAACTTGATTGTTTGATTACTAATATTACTAATAATAATTTAATAATTATTAATCTAATGATTTGATATTTAATGATTTAATAATAATATGATTTAGTCATGATTACTAATAATTATTTATTATAAATATTTAATGATTTATATTTGATACTAATCATTTAATAATGATTACTAATAATAATAATATTAGTTTGATAATATTTTTTTTTATTTTTTTAAAATATCAAACACATTTGTTAGGAAAAATTGTCGAGATAATGTTCTCGAAAGAATTATTTCACGAGATAATGAGTTGGCCAGATTATTTCATTCAATTAATTTTTATTCCTTACTAATTTACATATATAATATAAATTAAACAAAATATTTTTTAAAAAAAACTCTAAATATTTTTAAACACAATATTTTTTTAAACGAAAATTATCTCGCACAAATTATCTAATATAAACTTACTAACTAACTAATTTGCACATACACAACAACTAAAAATTGACAACAAAAAATAATAAATTACCCGCGTATTTGTGCCTTCTTCCTTTCCTTTCTTTTCTTTTCTTGTTTCTTTCTTCGAATTAATATGTACGTAGGCAAATGTTGTGGAATAATGCATTGTATGTGTAAACAAAATATTTCTTTAAACAACAATAAATTAAACAAATTAACTTTATATAATCTAATATATTATAATATAACTTAAACTAATAAATTATTTCTTTATTATAATATAACTTAGTTAAAATAACAAACTAATTAAGCACTAATTAATTTTTTATAATATAACTTCAACAAACAACCTAATATACGTTTAAAGATACTAACAAATTAATTAAATTTTTTATATTTAATAACTTAAACTAAGAAACTAATTAACTAATTTTTTATATAATATAATATAATATAATATATAACTTAAACTAACAAACTAATATAATATAATTTAAACTAACAAACTAATAATTTATACTAACAAACTAATTAACTAAATTTTAGTTTTACCCTAAACCCTAAGCTAACAAACTAATAATTGCATATAATAAACTAAATTAAACAATAAAAAATTACCTCAAAAAAGAATGTTTGAGCCTTTATCTTCTTTTCTTCTTCTTCCTTTTCTTTCTCTCGGTAAAGTTTCTATATATACTGCTTCTGCTTTTAGCCTAAACCCCCATATCCTCTATATAAAGAAAATGAGCGTTGGAGAGCGTCATTAAATTTGACTATTGAAGCAAATAATATTGAACATTGAATCGTGTAACTATTGAGCGTTGAAAGGCTACAATTCAACAGCAATATTTGCTGCATTTAGCAGCTAAATTAACGCTGCAATAATGCAGCTATGGATGCAGGAATCTCCCAGCTATGGATGCAACGCATGCATGAGGGAGCAGGGTTAAGTTTGGTCGCCAGCTTGGTCGCCTGGCGTGCATGGCGACCTACCATGTCACCGGGACTGCTTGGCGACCTACACAAAGAAAATTCGACGTGGATAGCTCGCCGGGCGTGCATGGCGACCTACAAGGTCGCTGGGAGTGCATGGCGACCTGTGTTGGGGACGTGCATGGCACATACAGACTTTAAAACGTCCATTATCTGTGTGCAGCTCGTTGGGAAGCCATGGCGATGTAGTAGGTCGCCCGGAAGGCATGGCGACCTACGGCCAACACTGTGGATTTCACCCTATTTCAGCAAATAATATGGGGAGTGCATTATCTCGTGAATTATTTATTTTGAAAGTATTATATCGTGAGTTTTGCCCATTAAACCGTATAAACAAGAAAATTGATGAGATACAAAATTACAAAATAATTCATCAAAATATAACCAAATTCTGGCAATTTTGTTCCGATAATATTTGAATTTTTTTCTTAAAATAAAATATCTTAAAAATTATTTCCTGAACCAAAGTGAATTGTTCTATCTTAAAAGAGGACAATATAATCACCATGCGAATTAAGATTTGCCATATACAGTAACACCTTGTGAAGCTGAAGACTTACTGTAGTTGATACGTTTTTTCAGCAAAACCAAAGAAGACACTATAATTCATACGTTTTTCTAACAAAACTAAAAAAGATGTACCGCAATCCATGCATGTTTTCTGACACTATAACAAATATTTTATTCGAAAAAATAATCTTAAAAATACAACGTACGAGATATTGTTTTTTCATTGCCCCATATGAGCAATTTTGCCCTAAAATATACTCATATAATGATGTATTTTAGATAGATTGTCCAATCATTTGTTACCATACAACAAATTGAGATTGGGAAACGAAAAAAAACATTCTCAAATAAAGTGATACATATTTTATTTGTTCAAATGAGATGAGTGTTATAATGTTGGAGAATACGTCACTCGACGTCTTTTATGGAAGACACGTGAAAGATATGATATCTTTTTCAAATAAACACAAGAAAAATATTATGCTTTTCTTGCATCTTTCACTAAAGATGTTGAATACTCTACGCATTTTTCTCAGCACTATAACATTCATCTTATTTAAACAAATAAAATCTAAAATATCCCTAGCAAACAATATTCATTTTTCAACCCACTATCCAAATAAATCAGCCAATATTTTAACAGTGTCCCATATTTATTTATGAGTTGACATTTACATACAAAGAAACCAATGATCCTTGATGGCCAAGGATTGAATCCAAATATAATCCACGAACCTCCTTTTCTATTCATTTCCAGTAAAGGGAAATAGAAGAAATTATGTTATTATATATATATATATGAGGATGTAGGCATAATGCAAATAAACATCTCTAATGTTTGATAACATATACAATTTTATTCATATTATTTTTTGGAACATTTAACCTTCATGTTTTATTTTGAGTCAAAAAATATTCTTGTTGGATAAAAATCATTAGTCAACTGACGGTTAACGTCTGAAGTTGACTCAACAAGAATATGTGAAGGGAGATGCTGACGTGGCATTTCCATATCATAGTAGTTGATGATGTGACAGATACACGTAGACTAAATGTTGACTTGACAGAACCACATAAACTAAATACTGACGTGGTAGATTCACATAGACTAAATATTGACGTGACATGTTCACATGTGACGCCACATCAACAACATTTTTTTAAAATAAATAATTATTTTTTACTAAATTAATAGCAACCAATAAGATGTTGCCACATGAAAAATGTACTTTTATTAAATTAAGAAAGGATTTCACAACTTATGGGATTTGAACCTGAATCTAAAAGATGAAAGGTTTGACACCTAACCACTAGACCAAATCACTTGATTGTTATTCAATAATTAATAACATCATTTAAAGTATATTGTTGTCATCAAAACTATCACTAACACAAACATTTTTTTTAATTTATTGTTAGATTTAAATTGTTAGAATTATTTGAGTCAATTTAAATTCATATTTAAAAATTTAAATTTATAAACTTTAAAAAATGATTTAATCTTTTAACAAAAAGATTAATTAATTTCAAAGAACATTGGTTAAAAAATCTTATCTTTTGCTGCTACGTGATGGGCGATACGTGCTCGAATGGGGATTCTACATGACATCTTTTGCTGCTACAATCTTCACTGCTGGTGTTGTATTGGTAACTTTGCTCGTCAAATTAGCAGTAATGATGAAGTCTTGTTAAAGCAGGAGCAAGGGAGTAGTACAGGTTCAGAAAGGCAGTGATGTTTACCATTATTGCAAGGCTTTTGCTTCACATGGCGAGCTCAACAACTGGGAAGAATCCGAGATTCCTCCGGTCTGCCTGAGTCTTGCCTTTCGATATATCGAACGGGGAGAATACGAACGAGACTTAAATTCCACTATCTCGATGATCGAAAGCTTTTTCAAGACTATTCGATGGTAAAATTAATTAAAATTTTAAATTAACTCAAATAAATATAACAATTTAAATTTAACTAGAATTTAAAAAAGTGCTTGTGTTAAGTTTATAAAAAGTAAAACGATTTAATCTTTTAGTCATAAGACTAAAATAAATAAAATTAAGAGATTAAATTATAAAAGAAATATATTTGTAATTAGAGAGTATGTGATTTAAATTTAATAAAAATAAACTTAAAATTAGAGATTAAATCATTTTATTTTTTTTAAAGTTTATAAATTTAAATTTAATTAGAATTTTAAATATCAATTTAAATTGACTCAAATAATTCTAACAATTTAAATATAACTATAATTAAAAAAATATTGTGTCCGTGGTTGTTTTGATGACAATAATATATTTTAAATGATGTGATTAGCCATTCAATAACAATAAAGCGATTTGACTGGTGGTTAAGCATCAAGCTTTTCATCCCTTAGACCCAAATTCATATTCCATGGGTTCAAAAAATTGTTGAGGTTTAATCCCTCCTTTTTTAATTTAATAAAAGTTTATGTGTCATGTGACAACATCTGATTGGTTGCTACTAATTTAGTAAAAATAATTATATATTATTAATTAATATTTTTTTAAAAAAATTGTTGTCATGGCATCACACGTGGACATGCCACATCAACATTTAGTCTACGTGAATCTGCCACATCATCAACTACTATGATATAGACATACCATGTCAGCATCTCCCTCCACATATTCTTGATGAGTTAGTTTCAGGCGTTGATCGTCAATTGACTAACGGTCTTCATCCAACGATGGTGTTTTTTGACCCAAAATGAAATGTGGGGTCAAATGTTCCAAAAAAATAGAGGCAAAATTGCATATATTATAAAACGATAGGGGTATTTGTTTGCATTATACCTAAGATGTATTGCATATACACAACATAATACCCTGCTTTCAGCATTGCATCTTTTCAATTAGTGCTATTACTTATGAGCAAAGGCAGGTGACTGTACTCTAATCAATATACGGTTTTGGAGGGGGATGAAAGAAACATCATCTTCAAAATTTGTTCCCTATCAAGCTCCGGTTAAACACACTAGTTCTTCCGATAGTTCTTCCATCAGTAATCCGAAGATTGCGTATTCGACTTCTAACGCGGTCTCTCTGGTTTGCACTTGATGTCTTCTCCAACAATCGAGCTCTTTTCTCAAATCTTGTTCCACCATCATGTCAATGGTGTTCGATTCCACCTCCTTCCATGACTCCATCCTCTTGCATACCCTTTTAGTTACTGCTTCTCTATCGGGGTCGTGGCTTTGTTCCGTCTCTTCCTCGGCGACAAGGTCTGTTACTAGCCTTTTCATGCCTCCAGGGACATGTCTTAGATTGTGGAAGCTTGATTTAAGAACTTCTTGGACAAGGCCATCAACATTCATTTCGTCGTCACATGAAACAGACTCGATCTCAAATTCCTCTTCTTCTACGTCGCGAATTCTGTCATCGTCATTATCGTTATATTCCTCTTGTTCTATCATTCTTTTCTCAAGTTCGATCAGATCAAATCCGGCCAGTTTCTCGAATCTACGAAGTTTGTGCAGTAACTGCTGCTTTGCTCCTGGTTATAAAACAGCGAAAACCAAAGAGGATAACAATGGTAAGCAATCCTCCGTTAAAGAGAAGGGAACAAGCAAAGTTATGACAGTGACAAGAAAGTAACCGAACTCTTCTGGTTTTATGTCCACATTTAAGATGTTCATGCATACAGTCATCACATTTAAGATGATCATGCATACAGTCATCACATTTAAGATGATCATGCATAGAATCATCATATTTAAAGATGTTCATGCATATAACCATCTTATTCAAACTGAATTTTTCATGCATATAATTAATCATCATATAAGATGTTCATCTTTATAAATCAAATTAAAACTATGCATTGAACATGGGAAAACAGAGAAGCTGACAGATAAAAGGACCACACAGAGCAAGTGGTCCAGTAAACATACTTTGTACGACTGTGTAGTCGCATTCAAGATCGAAACCATCGTTCTCATGTCGATCGTCATCGTCCTCGAACGGAGGGTCCAGTACAGATACAGGACTGCATTGTTCTTTCTCTTCATCATCCTCTTCCACTTGCAGTTTCTTCAAGCTCTCAAATTCATAGTTCTTGTCCTGTCACAATCAATACCAGCAAACCTTTGAATAGCATACTACTTTTTCCAGACAACATTCTTTAAAAGGGTAGTTGCTAAATAATTCCATAGCTGAGAGAACTAGAATTAGAGTTATTAACACATATAATTGAGGATTGATTGGGTTGTTGAATATGGAAATTTAGAAACAATTGTCTGATTTTGGTGAAGGGGTCCAACAGAAAAAACAAAACCTTTTAGTCCCTTTTGGTAAATTACTTTCTGAAGTTGGTAGAAAAGTAAATGGCGAAAACTAAATCACATATATAACCCTCAAAACCAGTCCAACCAACCGAAACCTTCCAACAAAAAGACTCCAAGAGTGGCAGCGTTTATCTGTCAATTCAGGTCCAATCCGGCAAAAATTATTTTTGTAGGAAAGGATCACATTTGCCGACAGTTAAAGCATGTCAGAGAGAACTCAGTCACCTGAGTCACGAGTTCACTCAAATGAAGAGGCTTTAAAACAGACCAGATTTGCAGTTTTAATTAATCAATTTATTTCCAATATTTTTCTTTAAACGTACTGACCTGGTTTTTGTGGCGACCGGGGGATCCCGCCGGGGAAGAAAAGAGGGGTGTCCGGTGACCAAAGGATGGGCCTCTTTGAAGCACAAAGTGAAAAGGGCTCTCACAAGAAGAAAAGGCTGAATAATTTTTGAACATTAAGATGTCTTCGAAATCCTCGGATTGACTGCAGCTACATGAAGTGTCCATGGATTTTTCTTCATTGCTTTCCGACCAAACAGCACTGCTTGGTCTACCATTGTAAGAAAATGAAAGCCCCATTTCATAACCACCTTTGACCGAAACATCTGCTCCTTCATTAGCTATTTTACGCTTCCGGTTCGCGTTGCGCTGTGTTAGCCTCTTGAGAATGGAACGGAAGAACCCAAAACCATTGTTTCTGTCGTGGCGCTTGGTTTTCGATGAAGATTGTTTTTGAATCCTGAGAGCGGCTTCGAGAAGAACAGCCGCCGTTCTAGCTGGAATGTGAAGAAAAATGGAGTTGGGATTTCTGCAAGGAGGGCTTTTAGCCGGCGATGCCAACTCGAACAACGGAGACTTCCAGGGGTGGTCCGGCGAGTCGTGGAAGGAGAAAAGGCAAGCGTTCTTGCAGAAATTTGTAGGGAACTTTGGGTTTCGAGAGACGGGTTTTCGTTTCTCGAGTTGGAGATGAGTTTGAGTCGATGGTTTCTCGAGTTGACAACGCCGATCAGAAATGTAATTCTTCAGAAGAAATGGCTCTTGATCTTCCTCGAGTAACTCGTGCAAATGCTTGTGAGCCATCATCAACCGATAATCAACTTTGAAGTTCAAAGCAGAAGAAAGAAACGTAATGCGGAATGCGGAAGTGGAGAATCTGGAGGAGACAAATATAGGTAGCAGGAGGACGATAAAGTAATATAGAGGGACTTTACAAAGTCCAGGCATTAAAATAATAATAACAGTGAAAAAGGAAATGACTGCAAACTGCAGGTGTTTTTATGGGAAGTTGTGGATCAATAAAATTACCTAGCCCCAAAAAAATATACTATTAAACATTACAGCAAGTCTGCTACAGACAAACTAATAAAATTTAGTGCTACAACTTTGGTCATTGTTATATCCACTAAAAATGCCATCTAATCATACTTAAAATTCCTTAAAAATAAAAACAGAAGGAAAAGTCATAAGATCAGCGTTTGAGAATAGACACGTGGCACACAAAGTCATTTGTGTGGACAGATGTCGGGCTTAGATCGCGAGTTGTTGGTTAGTTCCATAGCTTGGTAGGGTTCATAATTAATTAGTCCATAATCTCACCCAAAAAAAAAACAAAAAAGGTGAAAAGAGATACTCTAGAGAGGAAGAAAACGACGATAAACAGAAGTGCGCGCGTGCTCACTAACTTAGAGGGTTCGGATCTGCACTCTTTCATCTATTTCCCATTCCTTTCCCTTTCTTTTTCAACCTTTTCTTTTCGTTTTTTTTACGGTTCAATATCATTTTTTATCACTTTAATTACTGGAGTGAGCATTCGATTTAGTGGAGTAAAAAAATTTCAAGTTATTCGAGTTGAAGAGTCCTATTTTATAACTTTAACTTAACTTAAAATTTTCTCGAGTTAAGTCGAGTTTAAGAAATTCGAGTCGAGTTATTTTAATTTACAATTATAATTATTTATAGTATCATAGCAAGGATTTGTTTCAATTTTCGACTTTCTCTAACCATAAACGATATATATATATATATATATATATATATTATTCTTTTCATGTTATAATGTTATTTAATATATAAATACAATCTAAAATTATAAAATATATTTCAAAGAAAATATTTTGATGGTAACATATTGATGAGAGTATAAAGGAGTCACGAAATTGATGGAAATAAAGAATTTGCAAATAATTGTAATCAAAAGATCAAATAAAATAAAATGAAAAGTTAAGGGATTAAATAAAAAAGAGAGAGTACATTTCTAGTAAAAAAGTAGAAAGTCAAGTTACATTGGTATTCCATTGTGATGTATGAGGATGTGGTTCAAATTTGATAAAAAAAAGGGACTTAAAATAAATGATGAATTGAAGAAATAAGGAAATTATGAAAAATTGAGGGACTAAATTAAAAAATAAAAAATTTATTATAAAAAAGAGGAATTAAAAGTAAATATGTATTCTATGATATTTTAGGAGTATGTAGTTCGAATTTTGTAAAAATAGATTCAAAATGAATGAGGAATGGAAAAAAATAATGAAATTACAGACTAAATTGTAAAACTGTCAAAATACTCATTCAGTTTTTTTATTTTTCGAGTATCTCGAAATTTCAAAATTTCAAAATTTCAACTCGACTTGAACTCGAAAACCGAATTGATAATTTGAGATGACTTTAATAACTTGAATAACTCGACTCAAATAACTCAAATGAAAAAATTGATTTTCCGAATCGATTTGAGTTTTGTTAGCCCCTAATAATTACATGTAACTTTAATATTAAAAATATTGGGGTTAATATGAAAATAAGTTCCTAAATTTTATTTTTTTTTCATTTAGGTACTTCAAATTGATCAATTTAGGTGCATAATGTTTTTAACGTTACACTTTTAGGTGTAGTCAATCACGATGTTAAATTTTAATGTTAGATGACACGTGTCACCTTTATAATTTTTTGAAATAATTATTTAAATTTAAAAAAAATAATTAAAAAAACTTAGTTTTTATAAAACTACAAAAAACCCCAAAAATCTTTTAAAATCCTAATTCAATCTCTTTGCCACCGTTGACAACCACTAAAGTTATCAATCGATCGAACACCTAATGATATATGATCGACCAATCAATTACAACCAAAACTCATATACTTTCACAATTAATTGAACACCCAACATCAATGTAAATGTAAGATTTCACGATCATCAATTTTCACCACTATCACTGGTTTTGGATGCAATTAGAAGTTGGAGTAGGGAGTTTCAATCGTTGAGTGTTCGGCCGACGATGATAAAGGGATTGAAATTAAGTTTTTAATATTTTTAGTTTTTGCAATTTCAAAAAAATAGGGTTTTTTAAATAACATTTTAATTTTTTTTAGATAAATAATTTTTTTAAAAATTTATAAATGTGTCACGTGTCATTTAACAGAAGATTTTAATAACCGTGATGGGTTAGGTACTTAAGAATACAACATTAAAAACGTTAGGTATTATACACTTGAATTGATCGAATATTAGTTTAAAAAACTATACTAGAAAAATTATAATTTAAATATTTATTTTTATATTAAACCAAAATATTATCACTATTTAAAAATGTCTTTTCGAAATGCGTGGTGTAGCGAGAAATTATTTGATGTATCATGCTCACCATGTCATCCGTGATTCCAATAAATGAGAGCTATAAATTTTAAAATAACTTTTAAATAACTACCATTTTCTTATTTACATTTAGAAAAGAGGTAAAACTTTATATTAGAAAAATGATATAGACAAATATTTTAGTTGGACCACAAATGACGTAGTAACCCCTGTCGTCTAATAATTTTTCATGGCGCGTGACCCACCGAAGCAGGTATTTTCGAATTGCGGTAACTTTTATATAATCATCAGCTGCGGATTAGTAATAAAACTAACCATAGCAAATATAGGGACAGACGAACAAAAATCCTCTGCCCCCTTCTTGTGCCCCTTTTTGTGTCCCACCTGTCGTAACCATCTTTCGGTTGGGCCCCGGAATTGGGCTTCGACTTGGATTAAACGAATTGGAGTCGCCACCGACCACTTTAAAATGAATTTAGATGGGTCGAACACCATCTTACCTGATCTGCGTTGTACCAGAAACGTGTTGGGTTCGGGAGTCGGTTACGGTCAAGGAAGGATTAGCACCCTTGAACCGCCCTTTCGGTACCAATTAATTTGTCGGTTGTCTCTGGTTGCGAAAATTGAAAAATTTAATTTGAAATTTAAAAATCCGATCCTAATTACTTACCTTTGATCAATCGAAAAAAATCTTAAAAAGTCAAAAATGTTAGATAAGAAATAATAATAAACATTAAATAAATCAAATGGAAAAAAATTAAAATTAAAAATTAAAATTTTAAAAGTAATAACATAAACGACATAAAAAAGAAACCTGACTGGGTAATCCACTATCAGTGACATTTATTAGCTGCAAAACACGAGCTGAAAGTTCTACATCTAGAACTTCTTGTGATTCCATGATGTTCTAATATACTTCCAGACACCGCCCTTTTCTGCCTTCAAGAACTCTGACAGCTCAAACTTGCTTTCAACAATTTCAGTGCTTCCTCGATTCCGTCTGGATTTAATCGGTTCGTAAGCTTGACGCGTCTATGGAAACAAAATCCTGGGCACATGCGAGATTGTTGATGACCAAAGTGAAGAATGGGTATGGCAGTGTTGTTGTCTCCTGCTTAAGGATTGGAGTGACACAGATTTCCCTTAACATTTGAGCATCCGAATAGGTCATGCATGGAACTAGTGTACTACGCAAATTTCAACATATCTCTCCGACAATGCGGCCTTGCGGATTGGACAATGATGTCCAGAGGGTTCTCGACAGCGACAATTACACGAGCAGTAAACTGAAGCTTCTCCCAGGTCTTGCCAAGGTTGATGATGTAGATTCCATTATTGTGACGCTTGAAAACGTGACGCTCCATTTGGAAATCAAGGTTCTGGGTACCGAGATGGACTTCGGCGGCCAACATCGTCTGAATGTCGGCTTCTTTAGGAGAAAGCTGCCTCAGCATTTGCAACTTCTAACTTCGCCTGTAATTCACTTATTAATTAGGAAGGTTCCAGTTTTGCCGTATCTTTGTTGTCCACTAGAACGACATCTAGTCCGGGTAATCGTTCCTCAGCCTCGATAGCTCTCTGGTAGAAGGGCTTGAGGAGCTCTTCACTCGCCATGTTTGGTTTCATTTTTCGTATAGAAGAGCGATGAGGCACTGGCGAGGCTTAGCTTTTTGGGGTCGACGGCCGGCGTTGAGGCTTGAAGTTTTGAGAGTACAACCGACCGTATGGTTAGAGAGAGAGAGTATCCGAGAAGATGAACGTGGGTTTTATTTGGAGATCGAAAAAAAATCCCCCGATTCCAAGCTACCCCCGATTCCAAGCTACCCCCCGCTGCCTTTGTTTCTGCTTCTCCCTTCTCCTGGGATCAGAACCCCCCCTTGTTTTACCCTGTTGCAGGTACTTATAGGTGAGTTGGGGGGGTTGTTTCCACTCAATCCCGAGATCACCGGGATTCAGTTGTTGACGAGGGGTTGTCGCTTGGTGGTTGAGTGTGCCGAGAAATCTGGTGCAAGGGTTGTGAGGAGTCATTGGCGGAAAAACAGGGAGATGGGTGAGAAATTAGTGTCTACAGCTGCCTCTCTTTGTCCTTTTTCATGGAACGAAAAATAGGACAAAGATAAAATGACACTAATTTTCGTTCGGTGGAGTTGAAGAATGACTCCCTCATGTAGTTGACAGGCCCTCGAGCTGAATGAAACCGAACCCGAAAGGTCTTCGCTGACAGATAGCTTTCCTCGACCTAAGCTATGTTACCGGAAAAACGGCTTATTGTCACTAAGACACGGTTAACCCAGGTCTTCTTCTCAACTTGAAAACCTCGATTGTAGCTGAACAGTAGTGTGATTGAGGTGTCATCGAGCTGAATGGAGCCGAACTCGACAATTTTATTGACAGATAGCCCTTCTTGCCTGGAGCTATTATGTAAGCTTGATTTCCCTCTAAGTTGAATATAATCGAACTCGAATGTCTTTAGCAGATAGCCCTTCTCGACTTAAGCTATGCTGCAAATGATGTGCTTTGGAGCTGAGCCTAGTCGAACTCAAAGGTCTTTGGTTGGCAGATACTCCTTCTTTGAGTTGGATATCCCTCGTCGTGAAGTTGAAATCCAATCTAGAGATTGATGTTGCTTGTGTGC